ACATATCACTATTAAAGTCACTCAATCAATAGAAGATATTTGTCAAGTAACTTGTACAAGTAATTATGAGACAAGCTATGACCTATTTCATAATTCACAAGTGAATATCAATTGCATCTCTCAAATCCGTTACCTTATGACAAACTGGAGTGTCTTGTAAATCTTCCGTCTTCAAATCCGAATATTAACTAACATCGCTCATTTTATTTGATGAAACCTTACAACGATGTAACACAATTAGTATTTGTACATATCACGCACTACTTGACAAGTTTATTTGGCGCATAACCAATTTAGATCATCAATCACCGAGAACGTCAACTGTGTATATTTTGTGAATAAAACTATACATATCACTATTAAAGTCACTCAATCAATAGAAGATATTTGTCAAGTAACTTGTACAAGTAATTATGAGACAAGCTATAACCTATTTCATAATTGACAAGTAAATATCAATTGCATCTATCAAATCCGTTACCTTACGAAATCAAAGCAAATATTAATGTCAGTTTTGTGAAGTAGTGAGTTAATTCTGACTTGGACAAGTACTTAAGAAATAAGCCTGATCAATTGTATCAAATTCGTTATTTAGGTAATCAATACGAAATCAATGTTAATTTTAAAAGTCTTGATTAAAGTGAGTTAATTAAAAAACTGACTTGTACAAGTACTTGTGAAAAAACAAATGCATATTATATAATTGAAGAGTAATGATAAATATATACCAAATCAGCTGCAAAATCCATTACCTTACGCAACTAAGGCACATATCAATGTCAGTTTTGTGAAGTAGTGAGTTAATTCTGCCTTGCACAAGTAATTAATAAATAAACCTATTACATAATTGACAAGTAATGATCAATTGTATCAAATCCGTTACTTGGGTAATCAATACGAAATCAATGTTAATTTTAAAAGTCTTGATTTAAGTGAGTTAATTAAAAAATCTGACTTGTACAAGTACTTGTGAAACAAGCAAATGCATATTATATAATTGACGAGTAATGATAAATATATACCAAATCAGCTCTCAAATCCATTACCTTACGCAACAAAAGCAAATATCAATGTCAGTTTTGTGAATTTAATTATTACTTGCACAAGTACTTAAGAAATAAGCCTATTACATAATTGTCAAGTAATAATCAATTGTATCAAATCCGTTACTTAGGTAATCAATACGAAATTAAAAAATCTGACTTATGCAAGTACTTGTGAAACAAGTAAATGCATATTATATAATTGACGAGTAATATATACCAAATCCGTTACCTAGGTAATTGCTGATTAAACATCAATTTTGATTGCGTAACCAAATCAAGTGATTAATCAATACCAATTTAGTGTTTGAATTTTTAAAGATCCAATTAATCTGAGTAAATTCGATATTCCACTGTAATTTTATTAATGTTAGATGTTGAAACACGAACATTGGGAATTGGATTCGAGAAAAACAAAGTAAAAGTTTCTTGGAAATTCGGATCTGGTATTTAACCAGTATTTAACTTGTATTATTAAAGAGCAGCAGAAGTGGAACATCAAAGTTCTACATACTTTATACACATTTATGAATGTCTTGTTCATCGAAACACAAACTTATTTATTTAAAGTGTAATAATTTTGTATGAAAATCTTATTATTTAACAATTATATTTGAAACTCTAAAAAAAAGAATGAAATTTTGATTCAAAACTTATAAATTTATTTTATTGTTACATTCAAATAATAATTTGTAGTTTTCATTTGAAAATTGTTTGTGCCATGTTGCATACAGCAAGCGTCGGTAATATTTATTTTTAACAAAAGCAACATTAGTATTCAGGACTTGTGCGAATGCAAATGCAGAAATTGCATTCAATTCGTCCTTCCTTATTAACGATGTCTATTTTTTAGTCCACGAATAAATAAGAAAAAAAAACAACAACGGACTTACCGGTTTGTTATCTGCGATCCAACACTTGCAGAAATCGCAATACTTCCTCGCCTGAGACTTCCAATAATCCGCCCTAAAAGAAAACATAATTAGTCATTATCATTAATTAATATCGAGAATGTAGTTAAGTTTCGTTTTACGACATCGTTAATATTTAAAGTCGTAAATTTTGACATTTTAAGAATATTTAAAAATGCAGTTGCCATGGAGAATATATGTCATAGTGATTGAAGTGAAATATTTGAAACAAATCAGTGATAAATTAATTGTAAATTTATAGATTGAATTAAGAACACAACAATTCTAGCACGAAAAAGGATTATCAAGGAAAAAGGATTCAACTAGAAATTAAGTTTAGAAATAATTTTCATTTTTCGATTGAAAACATGCGAACAATAGATGAAATTGAAACCTTATTAGATGATAGTTATGTGAAAATTCCTAAAATATACCGAAAGGTTGCACTGCAATCGTGTACCTTTCACAAAATTATGTAATTAAGTAACATTTTTCTACTATATACTTCTCAACTTAATTTACTAAATGTTGACTAAGTAAAGAATTGTCTCATTGTATAATTGTATCATAAAATATACCAAAAGGTGGCGTTGCAATCGTGTACCTTTCAAAAACTCATGTAATTAAGTAACATTTATATACTATATACTTCTCAATTTAATTTACTAAATGTTAACTATGTAAAGAATTGTCTCATTGTATAATTGTATCATAAAATATACCAACAGGTGGCGTTGCAATCGTGTACCTTTCAAAAACTCATGTAATTAAGTAACATTTATATACTATTTACTTCTCAACTTAATTTACTAAATGTTGACTAAGTAAAAAATTGTAGCTGAAGAAATTTTATGAAAATTCATAAAATATACCAAAAGGTTGTGTTGCAATCGTGTACCTTTCAAAAACTTATGTAATTAAGTAACATTTTTATACTATATACTTCTCAACTTAATTTACTAAATGTTGACTAAGTAAAGAATTGTAGCAAAAGAAATTTTATGAAAATTCATAACATAAACCAAAAGGTTGCGTTACAATCGTGCACCTTTCACAAAATTATGTAATTAAGTAACATTTTTGTACTATATACTTCTCAACTTATTTCGCTAAATTTTAACTAAGTAAAGAATTGTAGCAGAAGAAATTTTGTTAAAATTCATAACATATACCAAAAAGGTTGCGTTGCAATCGTGTACCTTTCACAAAATTATGTAATTAAGTAACATTTTTATACTATATACTTCTCAACTTAATTAACTAAATGTTAACTAAGTAAATAATTGTAGCAGAAGAAATTTTATGAAAATTCATAAAATATACCAAAAGGTTGCGTTACAATCGTGCACCTTTCACAAAATTATGTAATTAAGTAACA